AGGAGGCTGCGTTTTCGAGCAAGGACAAAGTACCTCTAGAGAGCAGCGAGGAAAAACTAGTTAGTAAATTTGACAAGCTTCCAGTCAAGGTGGTGCAGAAAAATGACCCCTTTGTGGTAGATTATTCAGACAAGCTGGGGCGGGTGCAGGAGTTCGAGAGCGGGCTGCTGCACTGGCGGATCGGCGGCGGCGACACCACCGAGCACATCCAGACCCACTTTGAGAGCAAGACGGAGCTACCTTTGACTCACAAACGAGCTTCCTGCACCTCTGTCCTGAGGAAACGTGCAGCAGCTGAGAGCAATCCGAGCACTAGGGAAGGAGAGACTCCTCCATCCGACAGCTCCTCGGAGAAGAGGATAACTGCCACCATGGATGACATGCTGTCGGCACGTTCGGGTGCCTTGGCAGGGGAGGAGGAAGAGGTTAAAGCTCTGGAAACGGCAAAGGAAAGCAGCAAGTTTCCCTTTGGCATTAATCCAGCTCAGAGCCACAGAAACATCAAAATCCTGGAGGATGAACCTCACAGTAAGGACGAGACACCCCTGTGCACCCTCCTGGACTGGCAGGACTCTCTGGCGAAGCGCTGCATTTGTGTCTCTAACATCATCAGGAGTTTATCGTTCGTGCCGGGCAATGACTTTGAAATGTCAAAACATCCCGGGCTGCTGCTGATTCTAGGGAAGTTGATTCTCTTACACCACAAGCATCCAGAACGCAAACAGGCACCCCTGACCTATGAGAAAGAGGAGGAGCAGGACCAAGGGGTGAGCTGCAACAAGGTGGAGTGGTGGTGGGACTGCTTGGAGATGCTGCGTGAAAATACACTGGTCACGTTGGCCAACATTTCTGGCCAGCTGGACCTCTCCCCTTACCCAGAAAGCATCTGTTTGCCTATCCTGGATGGACTCCTCCACTGGGCAGTATGTCCATCAGCAGAGGCCCAGGATCCCTTCCCAACACTGGGGCCCAATGCGGTCCTCTCCCCTCAGAGACTGGTTTTGGAAACACTCAGCAAACTCAGCATCCAGGACAACAATGTGGATTTGATTCTTGCAACTCCCCCCTTCAGTCGCTTGGAGAAGCTGTACAGCACCATGGTGCGGTTCCTTAGTGACAGAAAGAACCCGGTGTGTCGAGAGATGGCTGTGGTACTACTGGCCAACTTGGCACAGGGGGACAGCCTGGCAGCAAGAGCGATTGCTGTGCAGAAGGGCAGCATTGGCAACTTGCTGGGCTTTTTGGAGGACAGCCTGGCCGCCACGCAGTTCCAGCAGAGCCAGGCCAGCTTGATGCACATGCAGAACCCACCCTTTGAGTCGACGAGCGTGGACATGATGCGCCGGGCTGCTCGGGCGCTGCTCGCCCTGGCCAAGGTGGACGAGAACCACTCGGAGTTCACGTTATACGAGTCGCGGCTGTTGGACATCTCCGTGTCGCCTTTGATGAACTCTTTGGTTTCACAAGTTATTTGTGATGTACTGTTTTTAATTGGCCAGTCATGACAGCTGTGGGATCCGAGCCCCTGTGTGCGTGTGCGTGAGTGGAGAACTTAGAAACTGACTGTTGCCCTTTATTTATGCAAAACCACCTCAGAATCCACTGTCTACCCTGCGCTGTCCTGCTTCTCCCTTGGGGAATGATGTCCCCGTTCCCCCTCCCTTTCCCCTGCCCTTCAAATTTGTCCTGAATCCCTTATTAAAGGAGACAAAGTTCTGTCTACATAGAAGACTTTTTTTTTTATTTTAACCAAAGTTACTGTCGTTTACAGTGAGTTTGGGGAAACGACTTTGCCGTGTTATCACATTGACAGGCACCACTTTCCTAACTGTTTTTAATGGTAAAACTCTTGAAGGACAAAAACAAACCCCAAGCGACTGCTGAACTCCGTGTGGTTTTATCGTTGTACATTCACAATCTTGCAGGAACCAAGAAGTTAACCAGTGGTGAACAGACCTTGTCCAAGGGAGGCCTGTGCAGTAGCGTGTAGAACTTCATGTACTGTACACCTTAAACTGTAAAACATACTGTAATAATGTCTCACCTGGAAAACAAAAAAAAGAGAAAAAAGAGAAAAAAAAAAAGAAGAAAAAAGCTGGCTCAGCAGCAAGCTGTAGTTTTTAAAAACGTTTTTAGTTAATGTTGAGGAGAAAAACAAAAAAAAAGGCTTTTCCCCCAAAGTATCATGTGTGAACCTACAACACCCTGACCTCTTTCTCTCTTCCTCCTTGATTGTATGAATAACCCTGAGATCACCTCTTAGAACTGGTTTTAACCTTTAGCCGCAGCCCGACCGCTGCCACGTGTGTATATATATATGACGTTGTACATTGCACATACCCTAAGATCCCTCGCAGTTTTGTCCCCCTCTCCCTTCCCCTTTATAGTATGACGAGTTAAACGAGTTGATGACCTGCAAAAGCGAGACACAATTATTTAATCTCTTGCCAGACATCCCTCCCTGGAGGATGCTGTACAGGTCTCTGTGTATAAAGTCATTGCTGTCTCAGCAGCCAATCAACTTATAGTTTTATTTTTTTCCTGGTTTTGTTTTCTTTCTAATCGAGGTGTGAAAAAGTTCTAGGTTCAGTTGAAGTTCCTGATGAAGAAACACAATTGAGATTTTTCAGTGATGAATTCTGCATATTTGTATTTCAGACGATGTAGCTAAAAACTTGATGTAAATTCCTCCCTTTTTTCCTTTTTTGGCTTAATGAATATCATTTATTCAGTATGAAATCTTTATACTATATGTTCCACGTGTTAAGAATAAATGTACATTAAATCTTGGTAAGATGTTTGTAAGGGTTTTCTTTATTAGCAGAACGAGGAGGTAACTTCAGTGCTGTCAGGTCTGGTAGAGGTGATGTTGTAGGTCAGCTCCTTACCACGCAGCAGAGAGGCCTCAAAGGTCCAGCGTGGTGCAGTGGTGCTTGGAGACCCTGGTGCTCTGGCTTGTTTCAGTGGTGGAGGTTTTTCTTAGTGCTGCCTAGGGTTAGGATCTGCAGTGTGAGGTGAAGCTATGGCAGGGAGGCTCGCAGTTCACAGGCTTGGAAAGGCTGCTGCTTGCAAGGGAGGCGGTTCCCATCCAGCTCTGTAGAATGGAAAACTCCCATTCCCACCCATTTTTCACGTTTTCTTGGAAGCGTGGTGAGAGTCCGGGTTTTCCAGTGGCCGGAGCTCGGCTGCCCTTCAGCAAACAGCCAGAGTTGAGGCTCTTCAGGTGCAAATCTGCCCCTTCTCAGGGGTTAGGAAATGGGTATTTTTACTTAGCCTGAAGCTTTATGCTCAGAGGATTCTAGAAGCAGGCTGGCTCCAACTGCATGGAGCTCATATAAGCAAAAGAGCCAGTTAAAGAGAAGCTTTCTTAAAGGTAGACATGGTTTTTGTTCAGATCTCCTTGGTTTATCCTGCTGTAGACCGTTCCTAGGAAGCTCTCTGATCCCAGAGCCCTCCCTTGGCTGTGTCCCTTAAACTTCAGAATGCTGGGAGTAATGGTGCCAGAATAACTGAAGTCTTCTCTGTAAGGTCTCTTTATCAGCAGGAATTGCAGGAGTTCTTTGCCTGGTAGAGGAAGAGTCCCTAACATGCGTTTCTTAAGAGACAGGAACGGTGCTGGTGCTTCCTTGGCTTTCAAACAGACTGGATGGAAAGCGAGTTGTGAGATAAGAATTGTGCTGGGCTTTGCCAGTCTGTGACAGTGTTGCTGATTTAAACCCATCATCTCTGATAATTCAGTTTTGTGTTCCAGGAGCTCTGTTGCATCTGAATTAACGTCATCATTTCACTTCTTTTCCTGAACAGAAGGGACCGCAGCAGCATGGGTGATGAAGGTAATGTGAGCAGCTTCTCTCCAGCTTCTGTGCTCATCTTACTGTGAATTGAGTCATAAGTGAATGCTGCACTGGGGGGGGGGAAGAGCAGTCACACGTGGTGCCAACCACCTGCTTCACCAGTGGATAACAGCACAACCAGTTCATCCAAAGGGAGCAGTTCTGCTCTCCCAGTGCTTTAGGCACCACACACAGCGCTCATATGCTTCTCAAATGGTTAAAACAGCATCAGTGAAGACTTAGTGAAGTGAGAAGGAGCCGTGCTCACTGTAACTGGGGAGTACTTTGAGCCACAACTGATTTCAAACTGAACTTGGCTGCCCCGAATGCATCCAGTCCTTGATGCTTTGGCCTCATTTGTACCTAGAGCTTTCCCTTTCTGCAGGCATTCCTTAAACACAGGCCTCTCGTTGACCCCAGCCCCTTTTCCAAGGGGAAACCTTGAGTTCTTCCCAAGTCACAGCCTCGAACAATAGCACTCGAGGAGTCTCCCTTGAAGACTCACTGACTCCTCTGTCATTCCTGCAGCTGGTACAGTCAGGCTGATGCTAAGGTGTGTTTTAAGCACCAAGACCTGCTGCTCTTTACCCACGCTGTCATGTGCTGCTGTCATGTGCTGCTGCCATGGCTTGACATCGCATGTGGTTGGGGTGAGAGCAGCATCTGCCTCCATCAGCATGTGGAGGAGATCCCAAGGGAAACCTGCCCACCCTCGTGTACCAGTAAGTAATTAATAGCATGCACTTATTCCCAGCCTATTGTTATGTGATGTGTTGCTTAATGCCTCTTGCCAGAAGGCTCGTGCCAGTGTTGCAGCCGCCGTGGTTTGTGTTGGTGCCTCTCCAGCTCTTAACACCTCTTCCTGCTGGCAGGCAGTGCCTGCATCAGTGGGACCATGCCATCATGGAATGGTTTGTGGTGGAAGGGACTTTAAACCTCATCCAGTTCCGACACCTTCCACTGGAGCAGCTTGCTCCAAGCCCCTGTGTCCAACCTGGCCTTGCGCACTGCCAGGGATGGGGCAGCCACAGCTTCTCTGGGCACCCTGTGACTGCGCCTCAGCACCCTCACAGGCCCTTAACAAAGATGGCGCCGCCCATCCCTTCCCGTCCCGACACACACATACACACATATACACACGTGTTACCTGCCGCCACGTGACGCGGCGCGCGCAGCCCCGGAAGGGGCGGGGCCGGAAGCGGGCGGTGGGATGGAGCCGGCGCGGGAGCCGCGCGCCGGGCGCTCAGGTGGGAGGGGGGGAAGAGGCGGGGCCGCGCGCGCACCGAGGGTGGGGGGGGAAGGGGCGGGGCCTCATCCCCCCTCCCCTCACAAAGGCACCGCCCCCTTGGAGCCCCCCTGAGGGCCGGGCCCAGCGCCGCCATGGGGGCCCAGCGGGCTGTGTGGGAGCACCCTGCGGTGGTGGAGGGTGTCCCCGCCCGCGGCGGGGATGGCGCTGGGGGAGCTTTGAGCCCCCTTCCAGTCCAAGCGGTGATTCTGTGCACTGGGGGGGCCCGCCTGTGCTGAGGGGAGCACACACACACTCCCCCCTCATCTCCACTCGAGCCCTTGGGCCGCTGTTAACCTCAGCCGGAGGCCGCAGGGTGCAGGCCCGCCTCGTCCCTCAGCAAGGGAAGGGACCCTGCGGTTCCATTCCGTCCGGTTAAGTGCTGGTCACCGGCTGCAGCGGCCTCGTCCCGTTGGAAGGACGGAGCAGGAGTCCCGGAGCTGGCCTGAGCGGGGTTTGTGCCGTTGCCGTGTGCGATGGCCCAGGCAGGAGGTGCGAGCACACAGGGAAGCGGCCGCCATGCGTTGTCATGCCTAGGCCTGACCCAGCTCCCACAGCGGCTCCGCAGCGAGCGGTCAGGTCCTGGCTTTGATCCGCTTCTACTCACACACGAGCTGTTGTCAGAGGAGGAAGGGGTGGAACTGCCCCCGTTGCCTTTGGATGTGGGTGAAGCAGCGCTGCGGCTGCAGCCTCCAGGCCCAGACCCCCTGAAACAAGCATTGGGTGAACGCGATTCCTAAAGCCGTGTTTCAGAACGGGTTTACAGCGAGAACCGGAGCGTGCCTTGACCCTGCAGCGCGTTGGAGAAGTACCGGGACGTGCCCAAACCCTCGCGCTCCCACTGCTCCTGCACGTTTCCCGGCAGGAACCCTGTGTCCCAGCAGCGCGGCTGTGGCGAGTGCCTGCTGCCACCGGCTGGCCAGCGGCCTGCAGTGCGCCTCCGGCCCCCGTGTACATCATTCACACAGCGCCTGGTCCGTTGGGATCCGCGGCTTTGAGCGCGGTTCCCACCCCAGAGACTCCTTTCATTAAGGTTTTGCACCTTTTAAACCCACTTTTGCCTTTCTCTGTCCTCTCTCCGTTCATGCAGGTGCTCCTTCAGGGACAGAGCCATTCCAGCCCTGACACCGTTCACCAGCGGAAGGCTGACTGTGGGCTGCAGCAATCCGTAGCCTTCCCCACGTGCTGGTACAAGGTGCGCTGCGTCGTCATAGGAACAGACTTTCTAAGCTGGTTGCTTGGAGCCTTGGCACACTCATGCGAGGAGGCTTCTCTGTCTGCTCCTTATCAAGTGTTTCAAGCACTGGGACTATTTGTGCTGCTGTGCTTCAATCAGCTTTGCAGCTGTGAATGTGCTTTAATAGAATTTACAGCTGGGCCGAGGTATCCCCTCTCTTAAAATAACATTGCAGCTTGTGCCTCCCACCAGCTGCTTTGTCTGTAGCTGTGGATGCTCTGGAGCAAAAGGAGAACACAAGCAAAGCCTAAAGTCTTGTGTGTGGCTAAATAGGAAGCATAATCCTTTGGTTTGGGACTGCAACTACCAACAAGCGTGTTTGGATCTTGGTTTTAGCGCTGCTGATGATTTGCTTTCTGCTCTCTCATGCAGTTTTTAACCTGCTAGGGGTTTTCTTTCCTTCACTGGTGAAATGGTAATAGGAAAACCTTGGAGTGGTTTCGGATCATCAAGTGATTTGTTTGGGGGTCTTTATGTGTTGTAAAGCCCTGGATCAAAAGGATGGCAGGTGGGAAATAGCGCAGGATGTGGTGTCACTGGAACCCAGCGAGATGTGGGTCTTCTGTTTCTCAAACTGAAAAGCAGTTGGTGGCTGGGGAACCAACGGAAGAAATGTGTTATCTTAAAGAGCTGCAAACAGATACTGCCTTCCATGGTGCTGGGCCAGGCGCTTTCAGAGCTGGTCCCATGACATCAATCCAGAATATGCATCAATGAAAGCAGGGAGACTCCACAAAGCATTCTAAATCTTGCAGGTGAGGTTTGTAGGGAAGAGGTGGACAAGAGCTGCCTGAGCACATGTGGTTTGCTTAATAGGCAGATGCCCTCACCCCAGAGTCCAGGACCCCTGCCAAACTACTGGAATACTGAGAGTGTCACATCCTGGAGGTGCCGCTGCTGCTGGATGCAAGGGCTGGGGGGAAGCACCTCAGCCTTGCTCTGATGGAGCTTGTGGTGTCAGTGCCGTGGAGGCAGCTGGATAAAGCTGTCCTTGGCTTCCCAGGGCAAACACAGGGCAGGGAGCGGGAGGAGGTGAGAGCGTGTCTGGCATCACCCACTCAGCAGCTGCTCACACAGATGTTGCACTCAGAGGCCACAGTTGAATTCTGTCTCTATTCCAAAGAAAAGCCTCGACACAAGCCCAGGTTTAAATCCCATTCAGCACACTGGAGCCTGAATGTGTGTGCAGACACTTGGCAGGGGCCTGGCGTGAGGTGCTGGTGTTTCTGCTGAGGCAGCTGCTGAGGAGGCCTGTCTGTGCCTGGGATTTACATTGGCCTGTAAGAAATGGGCAGAGAGTCAGGAGTCGCCTCTCTCCTCTGCATCCTGGCCAAGGGTAAGAAGCCAGGGTTGGGGTTTTTTAATAGGAACAATATCAAAGAGGTTTTCTGCATCATCTCCCAGATCTGTGATTTCCTTTGTAAGTGACTTGTTCATACAGATTCGCAGCTCTTTGAAGTCCCTAACAGTAACTAAAGGCACATCACTTACTAACATGGCTGAAACACCTTTCTGTGTCTGTCCTCTGTTTATCAACTCAGGTTTCCAAACCCAGAGGGAGCATTCCCATGGCACCCGTGACCTACTGAGGCAACTTGAGAGCACAGGATGGAGGTGGTGAGCAGCACAGACCCCCACCTCCGAGAGGTGGTGTGGTTTGCAGTGCGCTGCAGAGCCCTGACCCTTCTGCTGCAGGCAAGTCCCCTGTTCTCAATCCAAAGCTGCTGTGACATCCGTTGTTTGCTGCTCCCAGGCTTCTCTTTTCAGTGTCCTTGAGCTGGCTGGTTCTGCCTGGTTGGGAAACCATCTCCTCCTGTGGAGAACCCACAGCCCAGCTGCATCCAGAGGGGCAGGTTGCTGTGGAGTAAAATCATGTCCATGTAACTTAACGTGTTTTCATGCTGCTGTTGCAAGAGGCTGGTTTGGCAGCACAAGAGGCTGAAGTCTCTGTTTATCCATAGAAAAGGAACAGTAATCTCCTCCTGTGTGTTCCTTCTAAGTCTCCTCTCCAGAGTTATCGTTCTCTGAGCATGGTTGCTCACTCCATCCATCCTACCTGTGTGTACCAAAACAGGCAGCAGTGTCAGGCTGCAGCCATGGCCCTCCTGAAACAACATCAGCCTGAGAAAGACGGCTTTAACCTGACTGAGCTGAGCTCTTAGGCAGAAGCTCTTCCCTGTGAGGGTGCTGAGGCGCTGGCACAGGGTGCCCAGAGAAGCTGTGGCTGCCCCATCCCTGGCAGTGCTCAAGGCCAGGTTGGACACAGGGGCTTGGAGCAAGCTGCTCCAGTGGAAGGGGTCCCTGCCCGTGGCAGGGGTTGGAGCTGGAGGAGCTTTAAGGTCCTTTCCAACACAAAACTGTTTGCTGATTCTACAAAAGCTGGTGAGCAGCAGCAGGGCTCCCAGCCAGCTGGCAGGTTGTGGCAGCCCCGCTCACCACAGGGTAGGACAGAGTGGAACCATCAGCTGAGAGGAAAGACTCCGTGTTACAATGCCAGAGCCCTGGTTAGACCAGATATGTGCTTCATGGTAAACCAGTGCCTTTGTATGTCTTTTAGTCCCAGTTTGTTCAGTGTGGCCTTTTTTCTCTGCCAAGGCTGAACTCATTGCAGGGGACTCATCCCAATCTACATGTAGTTAAGCTACAAAACTTACCATCTGAGGTTTTTGGGGATTTGGGGGTTTTGAAGCATGTTTTCCTTTGGCACTACATAACAATGCATTAAGTTAGATGCTCCCTATCTCATGGACTTCCTGGGGTTTTCTCTCACCTTTTATAACATGGCCAGCACCACAAGCTCCTGGAGGCAGAGGGTGTGCATTGTGCTTCCTCAGCTCCAGAAAGCAAACACCAAGCTGCAGAGGAGATGGGCATCTAGAGACTAGAGAAGGGGACTGGGAATCATCTGCTGTCTTCTGCATCAGTTTGCTCTGGGAAAATCTTTTGTCTCCTCTCCCTTGTGTGTCAGCTGGGACAATGATGCCACATGCAGTAGAACAGGAGGCTCCCCAGTGCTGCAGAGCTGCCTGGAGTGCAGGTATGCAGTTAGATGGGGTTGAGCATCTTTCCCTGTCCATTTCCACGGGGATTCGTGCTGGGTATGTTCCAGAGCTTTATTCAGGTCAGATGTAAGTGCCCCAAGAGATTGCGTTTGCACCTTTTCACAGGTATCCTCACCACAGAGCCCTGCAGCCTGGCTTCTGTGCTGCTCCTGTCCCCTTCTTTGGAACCCAGGGGTCTTCCTATTCAGTGCTTTCAGTAGGGTGCCAAACTTGTGCTGGACTTCAATCCTCTCTTCTTTTCTAGGCTCTCTTCAACCTCCTGATCCCAGACCATGCTGCGGACGCCTTCTCCCCGCCTCGCCTGTCCCAGCCTGGCCTGTGGGACGTGCTGCTGGAGCAGCTGCTGGGTGGGCTGTCCCGCTGGGACGCAGAGCACTTCCTCTTCATCGCCGAGCGCGGTTACCTGTACGAGCACAACTGTGCCTTCTTCCCACTGTACCCCCTGAGCCTGCGAGCCGTGGCCGAGGGGGCTCTGTGGCCCCTGCAGTGGCTGCTGTGTGTGCGGAGCCGCCTGCTGCTCTCAGCTGTGCTGCTCAACTCCCTCTTCTCTGCCCTGGCAGCCGCTGCCCTCTATCAGCTGGGCTGCCTTGTGCTGCAGTGTCGCAGGGTGGCTTTCCTCGCTGCCATCCTCTTTTCAGTCAGCCCTGCCAGTGTATTTATGGCAGCTGCTTACTCAGAGAGCATGTTTGCCTTCCTGGCATTCAGTGCCATGTGGCAACTGGAGAAGGGGCAGAGCTGGCTCAGTGGTCTGCTCTTCTCCCTTGCGGCTGGGGTGCGGGCCAACGGGCTTGTTAATGCTGGCTTCTTTCTCTACTCCTGCAGTAAATGCTTTGCCCTCCAGCTCCAGGTGGGTTCAGGGTCAGTAAGAAAGCTCCCTCTGTTGTGGAAGCAGCTCCTCAGCGCGGTGTCTTCCGTGGTTCTGATGTGTGCTGGGATTTTTCTACCTTTTGCTTTATTTCAGTATTATGCCTATGTGAGGTTCTGTCATCCTGGAACCAGCCTGGAGCAGACTGTTCCTAAGCCACTGGTCCAGCTGGCTCTGGACAAGGGCTATTCTCTGGCAGCCCCAAATGGGGTTAAACCCCCTTGGTGCTCCCAGCAGGTCCCTGTGGCCTATTCCTATATTCAAGACACTTACTGGAATGTTGGCTTTCTCAGGTATTTCGAGCTCAGACAGATACCAAATTTCTTGCTTGCTTTGCCTGTCACGCTTCTGGGCTCATGGGCTGCCTGCGCTTACATGAGTGCAAACCCGCGGCACTGCCTGACTCTTGGTTTAGAGAGAAGAAAGAGGGAAGAGGAGGATAAACCAAGAGCTGGATTTTGCTGCCCCGCTGTCTTCGTCTATGTGGTCCATGCCACGGTCCTGCTGGCATTCGGGTTCTTCTGCATGCACGTGCAGGTAGGACGTTGGTAGCAACACACAGGGGTGATTTCTCAAGGGGAATGTACTGTGGGGGATGCAGCAGTGACCGTCACAGCCGAGGTTGTCCCAGCTGCAGGACAGCACAGGGCAATGCAAACAAAAAGCATTGCCTTTCCTCTTCAGGAGCTGCCTGCACAGGGAGTTTCCAAAGCGAGAGTTCCCAAGGGAAGCTGGCCAGGTCTTCAGTGTCGTGAGGATGCTGGGACGGGGATCAAACGGTCCAGCTGGTGTTGGGTGGTATTTGATGTGTGTAAGGCCACTGCTGGAGGACAAAGCTTGTTGTATTGGGCTGAGCTTAATGGATGGCAATGAAAGGAGCCAGAACCTGTCACTAGACCCTATGAAGTGTTTGTTGGTCTTAAGGACACTAATAGTGGCACTAAAGGGTGGGTGTTCCAGTGAAAAAGCAGTTGAAGAGTGAGGTTCAAGTGTCCCCTGAAGCTGAGCTGTTCAGCAAGGAGTGGCAAAGAGTTTAAACCCTGGGGACCACTTGGCTGCTTACACAAACGTTGTCACAGTTAAAGCAGGTTGAGCTGAGAGGTGTTTGATTTCCCTGTACTAAACCTCCACACCATGAGTATTTCAGCCCCCATTGTCAGCACTCTGAGGCAGGTTGGTGGCTCCTGCCATGCCTCAGTGCCAGGGCTGGTGACAGGCAGAGACCTGCAGCGATGTGATTTGTGCTCTGCTTGTTCTCAGGTGCTGACCCGATTGCTCCACTCCTCCTCTCCCATCCTGTACTGGTTCTCCGCTCACCTCCTTCAGGAATACGAACCTTTACTCCGGAGTGAAGGGACTGATGATCAAACCTCTGCACCTCGCTATGAGGAATCTCTTCAGGGTAAATCTGGTTCCTGTGAGAACCCGGTGGTGAGGCTGGTGCTGAACTGCAGATCCATCACCCCGCTCAGCAGATGCATCCTCGGATTCTCCCTGTCCTACTGGCTGCTGGGGCTGGTTCTGCACTGCAACTTCTTGCCGTGGACATAGCGCGGGGCGCGTTGGTGCGGGCTGGTTGCGGGGCAGCAGCACTGGTCACAACTGAAACCCACTTGTTGAAGAAAGCCTGATGTACGTGTAGTGATGCTGTAGTCTCGGTTACAAAGGAGTTACCCCTCAGTAGGAGCGTGCAGAGCTGTTGCTGTGTCCAAACCGGGCACGTTCTCTTTGCTGTGATGCTGCAGCATCCCACCCCCTCTGCTGTCAGTACTGATAGCCAGCATTCCTGGGACGGAGCACCTTGGTTCCTGTCTTCTAGGGGAAATACTGCTGCTGAGCAACTATTTATGGCGAGGATCTGTGTCCATCACATCCCCATCCATCGGGAAACCTCTGGGATGCGCCCTTCACGGCAGGGAGGGTCCTGCTGCCATGGAGCCGCTCGGGCCTCTGCGGCTCCTTCTCTTCCAAGGCGTTTTCCCCGGCTCCGGCCGGGACCCGCGGTGCGGGCACACGGAGCAGGCAGCTGCGGTCCGACGGGCGGAGTCTCCCGGTATTCCCGGGACGAGACCGCTCCGGTTGGGCGGCGCGGCCGGCAGGGGGCGCTGCGGAGCGGCGCAGGGCGGGCTCGTCCCGGGCGGGCGGCGGGGGCCGGGCCGGCGCCATGAAGGACTGCGAGTACCGGCAGATCCCGCCCGGGGCCACGGCACCGGCACCGGCCACGGCCGCCTCCCCGCCTCCGCCACCCACCGGCACGGAGCGGCCCGGCTCGGCCCGGCGGCCACGGCGGAAGTGGGAGGTGTTCCCGGGCCGCAACCGCTTCTACTGCGGCGGCCGCCTCATGCTGGCGCGGCACAGCGGAGTCTTCGCCCTCACCCTCGGCCTCATCCTCGCCACCAGCGGGCTCTTCTTCGCCTTCGAGTGAGTCCGCGCTGCCGGGCCGGGGGCTCCGGGCACCGCCCTGGGGCTCTCCCCTCTCCCCACCCTCTGCGGGGGTCCCCGCTGCCCACAGCCGCAGGGCTCTGTCCCTCCCATCGGTCCCCGAGCAGCTCCTTTAAGCCCGCTCTGGCTGGGGGGAGCCGTGGGTTCGGTGCCATCACACCCGTTCCCTGGGGCGGAGGGAGGTGGCTGGGGGGGGTCTTCCCCCGGCAAGCCCCGCTATCCATCCCTTACCCATCCCTTACCCATCCCTTACCCGGCCTTTATCCTCCTGAGCCGTTCCCGTCTGTGCAGCCCCAGCCCCACTTCCAGCAGTCACTGCTTCCCCTCTGCCCGTCCCCAGTTGTGTTTATGTGGGGCCCCGCAGCCTGTCCCTGGGAAGAGGTTTAACATCCTCCCAGCATCACCACCCCAGTATCTACACACACCTCCGATAATCCCTCCTGCTGCTGAGAACTGGTCCAGAACTGCACCCCTGGACTGGTTGACTTTGTAGAGGCAGCAGGAATAGTGTTTCTGTTAAAGGTGCTCGATGAATGGTGGAATCCTTTGGGATCCCACCGCGGTGACCACTGGAGCTCTGCCCCTGTTGTGCAGGGGTGTCTGGGGAAGAGGGAGCATCTCCCCCCAGTCCCCTTTCCCTTTGGAAAGCTGGCCTGGGGAAGCTGCCCGCTCCTGCACCCTAAGGGAGGGGAGAGCCAGGAGCACCCCGTTAAGTCCTATGATGCCTGGAGGAGAAAGGGAAGGAGTGCAGTTGGTTATTGACACCTCTGAGGGCTGCTGCCCTGTCTCGGGAGGGAAGGGAGCTTGGTTTTCCTGCCACCGACTGAAGCAGGGGGCTCATGCGTGCCTTCAGATCACAGCGTTATCCCTGTGAGTCGCGCAGTAAAGCTGCCCAAGCCTGCTGGTGGGGAGATGAAGCTATTTGATGGGATTAGAGGCTCTGAGGAGTCAGATGAGCTGCGAGAGGCAGGCAGCTGTGGGAGGCAGTAATGGCATCCCAATGCGAAAGCTCCTTTCTCAGTGTCATCTGTGCCCCTTTGACAGGTCTCTCTGCTGCATCTGAAACTCATGGGCAGCACTAGCACAGTGACTGCTTTGTGTGGGGCCAAGCAGAGGACATCTGCTCTCCCCTCCCTTCGTGCCTAGTCACTCTTTCTTGGTTAAAGATGCCCTGGGGCTTTCCAAGCTGTTATTTCAGCAGTTTGCTTCTGTGGCATGGGTTCCACTTTGCTGGATGTACAGCAAATATATCTTGCCTGCATCTGTAGTTCCTGAGGTTTGCGTGGGTTCTTGTTGCCTGACAGGGGGAATGGGCTCCAGAGAGCCTGCCACGAAAGAGGTGGCGAGGAGCTCCCATCCCTCATTCCAGAGACCTTTCTGTTCTTCCATCAGGGAGATGACCAAGGGCCTTGGCAGCAGCGTTGAGCTCGGGCTGAAGGGGTTTTGTTGCTTGGTGGCTGCTTTGTTCTGGACAGCTGAGCCTGGGAGTTGAAACAAAAGTTGCTTAATCCTCTCAAACTGCCTCTCAGCCTTACTGAGCCTTAGCACTGCCCGCAGGCACCAGGGCTCCAGCAGCCTGCCTGCCTCTGCTCCACTCTGGGTACTTAGCAGTGCTTATAATAGCAAATCCCTCTGCAGAGCAAGGATGGGGCTCCAGCGCTTGCCATGTGAAGAACTGTGTTCCTCTGCTGCCTTCCCCTGTTGTGCTGTGAGTAACGGAGCTGCCTTGATGCAGAGTGTGACCCTGCTGGTACCCATGTGTGGGAAACCAGCCCCAGCTCCTGGTGAAGCAAGCCCAGGAGCAGGCATTATCTGCTTAAATGCCTGGTGGCTTGTTAGAGCAGTGTCAGTGCTGGAAGGTGTCCTCATCCAAACATCTGGCACAGCACGAAGGGCACGCGAGTTATCCAGAGACAGCTGAGCTGTGCTGAATGGAAGCCAAGTCTGCTCTGGGCTTCACGTGTCAGACCAAATGGGATCGTGCTCATGCTGATTTTGATCCGTGTTTAGCTTGGGGGGGTTCTCCAGGTGTTCTCGATGCTGCTGGGGTAGAAGGTGGTCAGGCTTTGGGTCAGGTTTCTGATCCTGGGACTCCTGAAGGGCAGAGAGGTTGTGTGCAGGGGCTTGTATTGTGAAGACCCCATCTTCCCAGTGCCACTCAGGCTTTCTGGGCTGGCTCTTGCTGTTGCAGAGGTCTCCCCAAAGCAGCAGTGCTTCAGCCCACTACCCCGTGATAGCTGAGGGCCAGATGTGTACTGATGGTTCGTAACAGTGCAACCTCTGCTTGTTTTCTGTTTTCTCAACAGCTGCCCCTTCCTTGCCACTCACCTGACCCTGGCCATCCCCATCATTGCAGCCGTCCTCTTCTTCTTTGTCATCAGCTGCCTGCTGCAGACCAGCTTCAGAGACCCAGGTATCCTGCCCCGAGCCACCCCAAGTGAGGCCGCAGACCTGGAAAAGCGGATCGGTGAGACCCCTGTTCCCTCTCTTCTGTCTGCTCAGTGCATGCCTGTGTGCACACGTGTGTTCTGGGCTCCTTTCTTGTCCCTTGGCTCCTGACCAGTTGTCCAGGGGAAGAAGAGAGCAGAGTATCACACTGTAAGGCTTGGTAGTGTCTTAGGAGTCCTGGTAAGAGAGGTGCCCCAAGCTCTTGTAGCACAGCAGGCAGTGCTTCAGAGGGAGTTTCTGCAGAGAAGCAGAAGTGGGGTTTGTTGCTGTTCAGCTCCATCACTTTCATAGGCAAATCCCTGGACAGCAGCTCATGGCTGTGCCTGTTCCTGCCCTCAGAACAATACCAAAGTGGGCAGCAGTTCCTTTGAACGCTGTCCAACCTGAGAGGAATCTGTCCCTCTACCACCCCCTGCAAAACACCAGTGCTGAGGACGTGGGATAATTAATTCAGGCCTGAATGCTTCTTAAGATTATGATTTGGCGTTGAGCCTGCTGTGCTGCAAGGTCATCTTATTGTGATGCTGTCTAACAGTGTGCTAATGTTTGTCCCCATCTGAAAACCGCAGCGTCACGCTGCTTTGGTGGTGGCCAGGAAGGTGTTTGCCTCCAGCATCTGTAGACCTTGTTGGTATGACCTGGAGTATCAAATGCTTTAGCAAAGCTAATGTGAGACAGCTTGAATGTGCCCCGTTGAAGGCAGTTGCAAGGCAATAATTCTACAGCTGACTAAAAGAATGGGTTTAAAATCTCAGAGTGGTGATCCATGTTTCTATTTATAAGCGCCTCAAGCAGTAATCTGGCTGCAGATGCTGCCTGATGTGCCAGCTGTTACTGTTCATATAATCCACTTCTTATCCTTTTAACACTCGCTGTTACATCTCTATTTGCAAAGACTTCCCCCGAGTTGGAAAAGGGCTCTTCTAAAAGGGAAATAAAGGAATAACCTCCAACATTGCAAGTGGGATGCAGAGGTTTTCCACATCACTCTTCAGCTGAGCAGAGAAGCAGTCTCCAACTGCCAGTCCCCTGGGAATAATGAAGTGCCAGCACACACACGTGCTGTGTCCCTAAAAACCCTCACGTTGGAACTTTAGAGGCAGAATCCTCTTGTGCTGCTAACACACACATGTCAAATTGTAGTGCAGTCTGCCTGCAGCACTGGAGACCTGCTCACTGTCCTCTCCTGTGGTGATGGAAATGAGTCTCTTGAGCTGCTGGCTCCAGCTGTGGGTTGTCAAGCTGTGTGCTGGTGGTGGCAGGGGAGGCTTCTGCTGAGGTTACCCTGATTCCTGTAACCTGGGTGCTTGCAGCAGAGGAGGAGCCACGTGCGTGTTAACAGATTCTGTTGCCTCCTTGTGTTGTGATCCGTTAGAGATGAAGAGACGGGTTGGTGTTACTGGGCACTGCTGCTTTGATGCTCGCTATTTATTATGTTCTCAAAGCATTGGGCAGATATTACTTCCTCTTGGCATCCCTGCTATTGAACAGACAAGGAAAGCACATAAATAATGCTGCGAGGAGCTGACTGGAGTTTCTGGCTGCAACAAACCCTGTAGGCTGAGCTGCCTCTCAGCTTCTGCTTAAACCCAAGAGATGCCGATCCCTTACCCTGCCTGCTGGGTGGTGTCTGGGGGCTTGGGTTTCACCTGCACTGCTCTGACTGTCCCTCCCTGCCCCTGCAGACAGCATGGGCACCTCCACGTACCGCCCGCCCGCCCGCACCATGGAAGTGGTCATAAACAAGTACG